ACAACCCCATACAACATCTTTAAAACATTTCACTTTCATACCTCAAATACTATTTTATTTCAATATAATGCATTTGTTAGATTTTCCATCCATTAATCCATTAAATGCTGACGTGTCTGCCAAATGTGTGCCACATGGCCAAAAAAATTATTTTTTAATTATAAAAAAAAAAAAAAAAAAAAAAACCCAAACCCAGATCCCATCACTCCCCCTAAACGATTATCCCTTCCCCAGATCCCCCATCCCACCCCAGCGATTATCCCTCCCCCAACCCCCCCTCTGCGACCAACCTCACCGTAGCGCCCCCCAACCCCGCGACCCACCTCACTCAAGCCCCCCTCCACACTACCTACAGCCTAGAAAAAAAAAATCCATCTTCCTTTCCCTGCAACCCAAATTCCATCTTCCCCAATAGGTATGGATTTAAAGAGTGGGGTGTGTAAATGAGGGAAGAGGGTGGGTGCGCGGTGGGTGCGAGGGTGAGTGCGGAGGATGACGTGGAGGATGGGTGTGGTGGGTTTGGGAAAGATGGGAGGGGGGAAGAAAGGAGTGGGTTGCAAGGAAGGGGGGTCGGGGAAGATGAAGATGAGTTTTTTTTTTTCCTCTCTCTTCTTCTTCTTCTGGGTTGCAGGTTGCAGGTTGGGTTTTTTTTGGGGGGGGGGGGGAGGGAAGGAGGGAGGGAAGACGAAGTGGGGTTTGGTTTTTGGTTTTTTTATTTTTTATTTTATTTATTTATTTAGAAGATTAAGGTTTTTTTATTTAAAAAAATTATTATTATTTTTTTGGCCACGTGGCACAAATGTGGCAGCCATGTTAGCATTTAACGGATTATTTGATGTAAAATCTAACAGATGTATTATATTGAAATAAAATAATACTTGAGGTATGAAAATGAAATGTTTTAAAGATGTTGTATGGGGTTGTAATAGACCTCAAACTTGAGGGGTTACTATGTAATTTACCCTAAGTTAAACTACTATATTAAAATAAAGTTTTTGGACATATTTTGATTGTCACTTGTCGCCAAATGAATAAGCCTCTAGATTTCTTATATGTATATAATCTCAATAAATTTTTTGATAGGATTTCGAATGATACGTGTTGCTAATGTGAGTAACTCTCCAGAATTCTTATCTTTATGTAATCTCAATAATTTTTTGAATAGGATTTCAAGTGACATGTGTCGCTAAAGTGAGTAACTCTCCAGATTTCTTATCTTTATGTAATCTTAATAATTTTTCAGACATAATTTAGAGTGTCTCTTGTCAAGATGTAATTGGTTGTGCAAATTTTAGATAGAATTCTTATCTACGTGACACTTCTTATCTTCAGCTTTCAATGTTGTAAGAATGGTGTAGGTATTTACAAGAAAAAAAATTAATTAATTAATTATTTTTAAATTCGTCCAAAAAAAAAATTCTAATTCCAACAGTAACCTGACGTTAGCTAGCTTTTGCTAGCTGGCGTCATGCTGATGCCAAGTAGCCGTTGACATTCAAATGAGTTGAGATGGAGGGCTGGCAAAATGTCAAGCTTGACATTTTAGAGCTGGAGAGCTAGCAAAATGTCAAGCTTGACATTCTGGCGCTGGAAGGCTGGCTTGGTTTGGGGGTTGAGGCTAGGTGGGGCCCACAAGCTCTTTGGCTTAACCCTCGGTTGGAGACAGTTTTTCATGCCATTATGAGCTATTTTTAGCCCTGATCCTTTGACCGTGTTAGTTGGAGATAGCCTAAATGGTTAATTCTCAACCATTCACTCATGAAAAATAATATTCGGGAGCATTTCCAATGGAATTAAAGACCATTCAATACCAAGAGGCCCAAATTCCAATAGATCTAATACACAATAGGCCCAATGAAAATTTGGCTAATCAGCTTAAACAAATCTCAGAGTCCTTCTAAGTAGATTGTGCAGTTGATATACTCGCCTTCTTCTCTAACCACCAAAGACGGAACATGACGGAAAAAAACTGTAAAAGCTGAAGCAAGTAACACAGCACCAACACCCTTTCCCGGTAAGTGCTTCTGTGGGTTTGCCTTGTGTTTGCATTGAACTCCGATCCTTTAGTTCCTTGTGTTTCTGTTTGGGCCCAAAATAATAGTTTGGGCCGAGTATAGAATCATTCTCGGCCTGGAAGTAGGGGTGGGTTCAAAAAACCGAAAACCGAAAAAAACCGAAAACCAAACCGAACCGAGGCTGAAAAAAACCGAACCGAAAAAACACCGAACCGAAACTGTCAAACCGAACCGAACCGAATCTGACCGGTTCGATTTCGGTTTTTGAGGTTCGGAAACCGAACCGAACCGATATATATATATTTAATTATTTTTTAAAATATTATAAATAGTTTAGTCATACAATCATAACAAAACATACCTTGTTGCTAAGTTGGTTTCGGTGAACCTTTTAAAACCCCAGCGCACGGGTTCGAACCTCCAGATGTCTGAGATGTTTTTTAATTTTTTTGGAGAACTTAACAAAACCCTTTAACCCTAGCCACTAGCAGCCATACCTTTTCAGATTGATGTTTCATTCCCTTCCTCTCTCTCTCGTTCCCTGCCTCAGCCGAGCCTCCTCTCTCTCTCGCTCTGTCTCTCTCGTTCCCTGCCTCTTCTCCTCCAGTGTAACCTTAACCCACGGCGGCGCGACCCTTTTCCCTTATCCCTCTTCTCTGTACTTTGGAGTCTGGACCCTCTATCCTTCCTTCCCAACTCCGTCGCTCTTCCGCTTCGTCTTCTTCCTTCACAGCGACCTGCAAGTTGCGTGTGTGGAAACCCTCATGGTTTGATCAGGAAGTACGGCCTCATGTGCTGCAGGCAGTGCTTCCGCAGCAATGCCAAGGAAATCGGCTTCATCAAGGTAAAGGCTTCGAGAACCCTTAGCTACTGATTGTGTTCTGATTCCGTTTACTGAGCTGAGATTACACCGTTTCCACAATGTAATTGGGTTTCATTTTTCGAACTTTTTGTTTGCAGTACCGTTAAGTGGCTGATATTCAAACATTGCATGAGTCGATGATTTGGTCCAAGATGAGTACTAGTAGTAGTGGTTTCTGAGTTCTCATAAACTTTTAAGAAGATATTTTTGTTTTAGCTGATCTGCTATTGAACTTGAATTGGTTGTCAGACTTAAGAATATTTGTTATTAATGAAATCGTGTTTCTAGTTTGCTATTTGTATAAATGATATGGAATCGTGTTTCCAATTGGTCTTAGATCTTTGATTTTGCATTGATTGCCATGATGTATGTTTATAAATTTATACAACCATGACATTGGAGCCATCTCATGACCCGTCTGTATTTTTGTGTGTGCCAGATATCCATTCAAACAAGCACTTCAGCTGGTTTAGAGCAAACTTTGCCATGGATCTTTTATCATAAGGTTATTGGAGTAACAAACTTTTTCCTTTTCGTGGAAGGGAAGGCTGCATCCCCCAAAGTATCTAAAAAATCTGGTAAATGTGTTATTGCCAGTTAACTAGCTTGAAATGAGGATCTGTCTAGCGTGTTTTTGGTTTTTACCTTTTTGTTGTTGTTTTGAATTAATTGAATATAGTCTTCCTTTGCCACCTCAATTCTAATGAGAAATTTACTGGCTCTTGCAGATTGAGCTAAGACGGGCATATAATTGCGAAATAATGCTTACTAAAGTAAAAATCCCTTTGCCTGATTTGATGGTAAGCTAAACCTAAATGGACATGTTTTCTTGTATATCCTCAACAGTTTGAGTTAGTCTGTGGTTCTATAAACAAAGAAATGGGAGTTAAATACAGATTAAGTTACAATTTCAAAACTTCAAATACTAGCAAGTAGTGGCTGTTTCTTTGCTGAAAAGATGCATGATGTTGGGGTTGTTTTGCATTTTTTGGAGGAAAAAAAAAAAAAAAAACCGAAAAAAAACCGAAACCGAACCGAAAAAACTGAACCGAAAAAAAAACCGAACCGAAAAAAACCGAAAAAAATTTGGGCCGAACCGAACCGAACCGAAATTTCGGTTTGGTTTCGGTTTTGGCAAAAAACCGAACCGAAACAAACCGAACCCAGCCCTACCTGGAAGGCCTTGCGACAAGAATACCATGGATCGTTTAGTACGTGGGCCTCCAAACCTAGGTCGGCTAGGTCATAACGCAAGAAGTCGAGTCCTAATGCAATGAGAAGTCTCGGCAAGACCCGGAAGCGAATCCGGCTCGGTTAAGGACTAGGTTCACAATCCTGGTGAAAGTAGGACTGGTCGAGTTGGTGCTGATCAGGAGAAGAAGACCTAGTCCGAGTAGGTTTTTAACTCGACCTTGGGGGGAGCCGTTGCTATAAATAGAAGAGACTGCGCATCATTCAAGCCCCCTGCAAATCAATACAAAACTGCCCTGCGCAAACTCAACAACTTGAGATTTTTTTCTTTCTTTTTCGCTGACACATCTTCCGTTGGCATCAACAGCACTGTGAAAGCAACCGATGATATCTTAAGTCGGCATAGATAGCTCTGTCACCGTAGAATCAGCCTGTCTCGCAGCATCTTCTGTTGGCATCAACAGCATTGCGGCGAGGACGGTTGATTACCTATCCAAGTCTCGGTCGAGAAGGATTTCTGAATCCTTATTGGTCGAGGTCATCTCATCAGCCTTCTCGGCAAAGTGAGGTGTTACAGTTATTACATTCGGCACATTGAGAGCCGAATTTGATATTGAACTTCGTAAGAATAGTAACCTTGTCTTCAGGTTCGAGAGCCCAAGAGGCCGAGACGTGTTCCTTTCTCGGCCACAATCGCAAGACGCAGAAGTCAGTCGCGCACCCAACGCAACATCAACAAATTTACTCCTCGGCCGAGCTCGGCCGACGAGTTGGCACGCCCCGTATTCACCGAATGACATAGTTAGCTTATAGATTACTCGGCCTGCGCGCCACGTAGGCTTGGTAGTTTATAGGGTCAACAGTTTCTTATAATTGTGCGGGCTTAATGTAAGAAAGGTTGCTTCACTGATGGATTGAGACTTTTTGAAGGAATGGAACGGGAAAACTTGTCACCTACGCTGGAAACAATCACTACACTGATCCATGGAGCAGGGGTTGTTCGAAATCCAATCAAGGCACGGCAGTTATTTGATGATATTCGCTTGAGAAACTTGCTTCCGGACATTGGCGCTTATAATGCTTTTATGAGTTCACTTATTAGATCAAGACATCTGAAGTCAGCGATCGCCTTGATGGATGAGATGGAAGAGAATCATATTGAGCAGGACAATACGACTTACCACACCGTATTCCCTGGCTTGATGAGGACATCTGATATTGAAGGCGTTTCTAGGCTACATCACAAAATGGTTGATAAAAGTTTCGTGCCCAAAACACGAACGGTTGTAATGACATTAAAATTTTTCTGTGTAAACCATCAGCTTGATTCGGGTTTGCATTTGTGGCGATACCTAGTGGAGAAAGGATATTGTCCTCACAGTCATGCATTGGACCTTCTGGTAACGGAATTGTGCTCACGGGGTAGGGTAAACGAAGCTTTTGAGTGCTCCACACAAATGATGGAGAGGGGTAGACATATGAGCGAAGCATCGTTTCGGACATTGGAAAGCTTGCTGCTTCAGGAAGGTGAGATGGACAAGCTGAGGAAGCAGAAGCAGATGATAAAGAAATTGCAGAACGTGTTGCGCCAAGTAAAAGGGCATACTATTGCTGATCCTGCACATTCAGACAGAGAGTTGTAGGGATGTTTATTTTTATGTCTTCTCAATGTACCGAAGTGATATCATCCATGCTTTAGTCACAAAAACAATCACTTGGTCTAAAGAGACAATTTTAGAATTTGCTTTTTGGAGGCCAAAAGCACTTTTGATTGCGATTTACAGAAAAATTTGGAAGCACTTATGGCTCAAAGAAGCGCTTTATAGAGAAGCACATGTCATATGTTTTTTTTATAAAGGGGTGTGATATTCACACACCCTATTTTACTCACACACTTTTTTAATTTTCGACTGTCAAATTGGATGAATTAAAGAAGATCAACGAACAGAAATTAACAAGGGATGTGTGGATAGCACACCCCTTTATAAATCGCTTCAAGTGGTTTTCTATTAAGTACTTGGATTTTAACAAAAATTTCCGCTTGTTTATAATTAAAACACTTATAACAAAAGTGTTTATGAGCACAATCGCCTTCTAGAGCGAAAATCTCAAATGCTTATGTGGACACAATGCACTTGAGATCGTGTGTTCAGTTTCTCTTTCTCCTTTAAATTCTTCAAATTATAAAAAGGGAATTGTTATTGACACTCCAAAAATCTCATTTCACATTCCAAACTTTCTATAATTAAAAAGAAAAATAACACTTATAAGGAATGTTATATAAAAAAACAAGTCGGGTTAAATTTGACTTTTCATGTAACATAAATCCCCCCTTTGTATGGGGTAAATAATGAGGAAAACTAATGAAATGAAAAGGGTTTGAAAACTTTGAGTTTTAACGATAAGGACAAAATAAAGAATAAAGTGAATAGTACTAATATTGACTTTTTAGTGTAAAAATGTAATTTTTTGTTAAAATGAACAGTTCTGAAGCGTTAAAGTTCCCTAAATAATGTTCTCCATTCAAAAACTCTAATCTTTATTCCTCTCGTAGCTCGCAACTCTCAAGGCTCGTACCTTTCCCTTTACCTCAAATTTTCCCGAGAAAATCCGATTCCGAACGCAATGGGTTCGAAGTCGAATCCCGGCCATTCTCACTCAGGCGACGGCGCCAGCCCTGGGTACGTCTTCCCTCTCCCTCTGTATCTCTCTCTCACATACACCCACGCCCAATTTAGCTGGGTTTTTCTTTGATTCCTGTATTTTATCATTATCCAAGCATTGGGGCATCGTTTGCTGCGTTTCCTCACTTTTGCTAATTTTTGTGTAATATTTGATTCGTAATTCGCAGAAAGATCTTCATTGGTGGATTTGCAAAAGACACTACATATGGTATGTCCTCTTTTTTTATGGTAAATATTAACAATATTTTAACCTTTTTGTTGTGTTCAGCAAAGTAAATTAGCAAGGTTGTTTTTTTTCTTCTCCTTTTTAAGAAGTAAATTTAAATTCGGGTTCAGGCATTGTGCGGCGAAATTATGTGGCATGAAATTTAGTGAAGTATATAGAATGCTGATGGCGAATTTATGGTTTTCTAATTGAATTTGGATGGTTTTAGATTATTTTTTAGCTTACTTGCCATATCTTCTGAGATACGAGATTATTGACTTTGTATGGTTTTAGATTAAATTTGATTCATCATTTTGTTTTGCTACTGATGTTGCGCTCTCTTTTGTTCTATTTGCTTCGAATCAATAGCTACGTTTACCAAGCATTTTGTTCAATATTCTTAATAGGGTTTCAGGGTATCCGAGTATTTATTTCAGAAATCGCAGAGGTAGTGAACGGTATGGATGATTGGTTTAGAAAGAATTAGTGCTATACCTTTTCTTGTGGTGTCCAATCTTGTGACTTTTTCCTAATTAATCTTGGATCAAAAAATATACGGCAGATGTTGAAATCCGGTGAAAGCATTCTTCTTTGTATGAATTGGTCGTCTCTTTGAATTTATGGGTGTAGCTTAAATCCAGAGTGTTATGAGAGTTTGGATTAATCGTTACAAATCATGAGTCCAAAATTAGTTTAGACCAATTTAACAGTTTGTTCGTGCTTGTAGCTTATGAATTAGTGTGTGTAATCACTGTGGTGTTATTATTTTTGTGAATTATTATTATTTTTTTTTTAGAAGAATTATTTTTGTGAATTATTATTCTACGTGAAGTGGTTCATGTGTTTTCAATACTAGTCCTAGAACATTAGCCATAGATTGCACTGTTATAGCTACTTTCCATCTTACCACTCATACTTGTAATTGTTTTGTTTTGTCTCTCATTAGGTTACTGGACTTTTAACTTTTGTTTGCTTGGACATCCAGGATATTGAGGTATCAGTGAGCGTTTCCAAATGGAAATTTCAAATTGCCGACTCAGTTGCGCTTGTCATTAAGTTCAATCAAGGAGAGAATGCTCCATTTGACGAGACTAAAGATATCCAATCAGCTTACTGAAATTCCTCAAAAGCTAAATTTTTCTGTCATTAACGCCCTTAAATTATCCAGCCAAATACATCCGTTGTCAGAATCCAGCATTGAAATTGATACAATCACCAGAATAATTAACAACCATCCTTACCCTGATCAACCACTTCAACCGACTCTTCTCCAGCGCATCCCACCACAAGTTCTTTCCACCAGTTTTGTGGAGAACGTTCTTGGTCACCTTTTCGCAGCCCATTCCAATGGTCTTAAAGCCCTTGAATTCTTCAACTATTTCCTCAGTCATTCCCAGTTATGTCCAAGCTCAGACGCTTTTGAAAAGATGCTGCACATCCTTACCAGGATGCGTTATTTTGATAAAGCGTGGGAGTTGATGGCAAAAATAAGCAGGATGCACCCTTCCTTGCTTACCCTTAAGTCAATGAGCATCATTCTGTCAAAAATAGCAAAATTCAAATCGTATGAAGATGTCCTTGAAGCATTTGAAAAATTGGAGAATGATATTTTCGCTGAGAGGAAGTTTGGTACTGATGAGTTCAATGTACTCCTCAGAGCATTTTGCACAGAAAGGCAGATGAAAGAGGCACGTTCAGTGTTCATGAAGATGCGTTCTCGCTTTCCACCCAACACGAAGACCATGAACATTTTGCTCCTAGGGTTCAAGGAATCAGGAGATATTACTGCAATAGAACTCTTCTACCATGAACTGGTTAAAAGAGGCTTTAAGCCAAATAGTATAACTTATAACATTAGAATTGATGCTTACTGTAAAAAAGGTTGCTTCGCTGATGGATTGAGACTTTTTGAAGGAATGGAACGGGAAAACTTGTCACCTACGTTGGAAACAATCACTACACTGATCCATGGAGCAGGGGTTGTTCGAAATCCAATCAAGGCACGGCAGTTATTTGATGAGATTCGCTTGAGAAACTTGCTTCCAGACACTGGCTCTTATAATGCTTTGATGAGTTCACTTATTAGATCAAGACATCTGAAGTCAGCGGTCGCCTTGATGGATGAGATGGAAGAGAATCATATTGAGCAGGACGATATGACATACCACACCATATTCTCTGGCTTGATGAGGACGTCTGATATTGAAGGCGTTTCTAGGCTATATCACAAAATGGTTGATAGAAGTTTCGTGCCCAAAACACGAACGGTTGTGATGATATTAAAATTTTTCTGTGTAAACCATCAGCTTGATTTGGGTTTGCATTTGTGGCGATACCTAGTGGAGAAAGGATATTGTCCTCACAGTCATGCATTGGACCTTCTGGTAACGGGATTGTGCTCCCGGGGTAGGGTAAACGAAGCTTTTGAGTGCTCTACACAAATGGTGGGGAGGGGTAGACATATGAGCGAAGCATCGTTTCGGACATTGGAGAGCTTGCTGCTTCAGGAAGGTGAGATGGACAAGCTGAGGAAGCTGAAGCAGATGATAAAGAAACTGCAGAACATGTTGCCCCAAGTAAAAGGGCATACCATTGCAGATCCTGCACTTTCAGACACAGAGTTGTAGGGATGATCTTTATTTTTTATGTCTTCTCAATGTACTGAATTGATATCATCCATGCTTTAGTCACAAAAACAATCACTTGGTTAAAAGAGAAAAATTTAGAAGTGCTTTTTGGTGGCCAAAAGCACTTTGGGTTGTGATTTACAGAGATGTTTAGAAGCATTTTACAGAGAAGCACATGTCATGTTTCTTTATGAATCACTTAAAAGTAGTTTTCTAATAAATATTTTTAGATTTTAACCAAAAATTTCGTTTGTTTATAATAGCACTTGTGACAGAAGCGTTTATGAGCATAATCGCTTTCTAGAGCGAGTATCTCAAACCGGCATGTGGAAAGGATGCACTTGAGATCGTGAGTTCAGTTTGTCTTTCTACTCTAGATTGTTTGAATTATAAAAAAAAGTTAAATAAAAAAACGAGTCGGGGTAAAATTGACATTTCACATACACATAAATCCCTCCTTTGTATGGGGGTAGATAATGTACTCCAGTCAAAAGCCCTAATCTTTATTCCTCGCGTCGCTCGCAACTCTCGAAGCTCGTACCTTTTCCTTTTCCTCAAATTTTCCCGAGAAAATCCGATTCCGAACGCAATGGGTTCGAAGTCGAATCCCGGCCATCCTCACTCAGGCGACGGCGCCAGCCCCGGGTACGTCTTCCCTCTCCCTCTGTATCTCTCTCTCACACACACCCACGCCCAATTTAGGTGTTTTCTGTTTGACTTTCGAGAAGATTGGATCTTTCTGAGAAAATAAGATTTTATTTTATCTTTATCTTTTTTAGCTGGGTTTTTGTTTGATTCCTGTATTTTATCATTATTCAAGCATTGGGGCATCGTTTGCTGCGTTTCTTCACTTTTGCTAATTTTTGTGTAATATTTGATTCGTAATTCGCAGAAAGATCTTCATTGGTGGATTAGCAAAAGACACTACATATGGTATGTCCTCTTTTTTTTTTTTTAGTAAATGTTAACAATTTTTTTACCTTTTCGTTGTGTTCAGCGAAGTAAAATAGCAAGGTTGGATTTTTTTTCTCCTTTTTAAGAAGTAAATTTAAATTCGGGTTCAGGCATTGTGCGGCGAAATTATGTGGCATGAAATTTAGTGAAGTACATAGAATGCTGATGGCGAA